TTTAACTGACAAAGAGGAATTAGGTATGAAACTTGAATGTGTTATTTTCATCAGTGGAGTGTAGTTTTGTTGTCTTGTTTCAGGAATGACTCAGAGAGGGTTGTTCTCTGTAGTAGGAGGACTTGGGTGCAAGTGACATATGTAGTAATTCATTATTAGTAGGTCATTTGCAAAAACTGGTATTAAAGTTACTCTTGCATTCCTGTTGGTAATGCAGCCAGTGAAGGTTGAAAGCAGCCCTTTCTGGAAAAAAAAGGATATTGGGAGACTCCATTGGGTTTTAGCATACTAATAATCTTTGCTTTTAAGTAAGTGATGTTGTTTGCTTTTAAGTAAGTGATGTTGTTTTGTTTTTTTATATTTTTAAAATTTGGCAGTACTGGGTATGCACTCTACTGCTGACTTACATCTCTAGGCCCTTAAAAATAATTTTTTTCTTGTTTTATTTTGCCTCCCTAAGTTGACAGGGCTGTCTTTGAGCTTTTAATCCTCCTTCCTCAGTCTCCAAGTAGGGGGGATTCCAGGTGTGTGCCACTGTGCCTGGCAGATCATTTAAATATTTTAATAATGGTGAGTTTTTAAAAAATGAACTAATTTAATACTGTTTCTAAAATTCTTATTATTTGGGGGGGGTGTTGAGCCAGGGTTGCACTTTGTAGCCCAGGCTGTCCTCAATCTTGTAGTGATCCTCCTGCCTTTGCCTCCCAAATGCTGGGATTACAGGCAAGTGACACCATGGCTGGCCTTAAAATTATTATGATTATGATTATTATTTTTTGGTCTTTTTGAGACAGGGTCTCACTATGCAGTTCAGGCTGGCCTCGAGCTCACTTTGTAGACCAGGCTAGTCTCGAACTCACAACGATCCTCCTTCCTCAGCCTCCCAAGTGCTGGGATTATAGGCCTGCGTCCCCCGCGCCCCCCACCCCCAAGTGCTGTTAAAGTTATTTTAAAGGCAAATCTATTAAGATTGTTAATGTCTTATTTTTTTTCTTTCTTTCTTTCTTTTCTTTTTTTTTAATTTTAAGACAGGGTCTCACTAAGTCCTTAGGTTGCCCAGTCTGGGCTTGACTGTGTGACCTCCTGCCTCAGTCTCCTAGAGTGCTGCTGTTACAGGCTTGTACCTCCAACTGCAGTTAAGGTTTTAAAAAAATTCTTCAAAAAATTACCAATGAGGCCAGGCATGGTGGCACACACCTGTAACCTTGTATCTTCCTGACTGTTGGGAAGGCTGAAGCAGGAAAATCAAAAGCTCAGTACTGGGGCTGGGGATTTAGCTCAGCGGCACAGCGCCTTCCTGGCAAGCGTGAGGTTGTAAGTTCGATTCCTGGTACCTGGGGAAAAAAAAAACAAAACCAAAAAACCCCCACAAAAGCTCAATGCCAGCCTGAGCAGTTTAGGCAGTTTAGGTGTGAAGTGAGGAGTTGTATGTGATTAAGATATACATTATATAAAATTTATCATTTAAAATTTTTTTGTTTCTTTTTTGTTCTTGTTTTTTTTGAGACAGAGTCTCACTGTACAGTTTAGGCTACCCTTGAACTTACCATGTAGCCTAGGCTAGCCTCAGACTTACAGAAGTCCTCCTGCTTCACCTCTAGAGTGCTGGGAGTACAGGCCTGTGCCATCATGCCCCCGCACTTCAGTTTTAATTTTATATATGTATGTATGTATGAATGTATGTATATATTTATTGAGACAGGGTCTCGCAGTGTAGTTCTGGCTGTCTTTGAACTCACTGTGTAGCCCAGGATAGCCTCAAACTCATGGCAATCCTCCTGGCTCACCTCTGGAGTGCTAGGCCACTATGCCTAGCAGTCATTTTGTAAGTGTACAGTTCAGTGGTGTTAGGTACATTAGCAGTATTTTACAATGTGTTGCTAGCTCCACAACTTCCTATATAGGAACTAGTCATGAGGTGATAATTCCTCATTCCCATCTTCCCCCAACTCTGGTAACCTCTCTTCTGCTTTCTGCCTACATGAAGTTGCCTGTTTTAGATAATCTCATAATGAGTACCCTGCGCTGTTTGTTCTTTCATTTAGCATAATGTTTTCTAGTTCAACCATGTTGCAACATTGTATCAGGACATCTTTTTATATGATATTCTGTTTTATGTGTTCACCACATTTTATCCATTTCATCCACTCATGAACCTTTTAACTTCTTTCCAACTTTTGGCTATTCTGAGTAATGGCTGTAGCTAGTATTTGTGGACACGTACCTGTTTGATTCCTAGTGGAATTGCTGGATCATATGGTAATTCTGGATGAGATAATGCAAAACTTTTCCACAGTGGCTGCACCATTTTACATTTTACATTCTGAGCCCAAGAATTTTAAGTTTCACCATATTTTCATCAGTACTTAGTTTTGTGGTCATTATTTTGTTCTTAGTTTTTAGTTTTTATTTTTCTGGTGATGCTGGCCCTTGAACATGTTAGGCAAAAGTTCTACCACTGAGCTCACTGTATAGCCCAGGATAGCCTTGAACTCATGGCAGTTCTTCCCAAACCCTTTAAAAAAATTCATTGGCCGTTCTAGTGTGTGTATCTTATTGTGGTTTTGACTTGCATTTCTCTACTGAGTAAATATTTTGAGCATATTTTCATGTGCTTTTCTGCCATTGGTATATTTTTGGTAAGATGTTTTTTGCCCATTAAAAAAAAAAGAGTTATGCTGGATGTGGTGGCACATGTTAGGCCAAGACAGGAAGATTGCGAGTTCCAGCCTCATCAGTTTAGGGATTTAGTAAGACCATGTCTAAAAAATAAAAAGGGGCTGGGGATGTAGCTCAGTGTGAGGCCCTGGGTTCAATCCCCAGTTACCCCCCCCCCCCGCCCGCTGTTGTATGCTTTCATGTATTTATGATGCATGTCCTTTGTTAGCTATATTTGATTGTATTTCTGTGTTTGCATAGGGAGAACTGTTTCAATATTTATTAGATTTTTTTCCACAAATTACAGAGGATCTTTGGCCAATTAATTTATACCAAATAGTTTTGTTAGTAAAATCATATTGGGGAATATAAAATAGAAACATGCTGCTTTCTGATAATGTCAGCTTCTTCAGGGGAAGTGTACAATTATAATCATGAATTGTCAGCAAATAAAAGTACTATATATAAAAGTGCTTCTAGTCCAGGGTTGGTGGTGCCTGGCTATAACGCCCAGCACTTGAGAGGCTGAGGCAGTAGGATTGCGAGAGTTCAAGGCCAGTCTGGGCTACATAGTGAGTTGAAGGCAGTCCTGCACTACAGAGCAGTACTCTGTCTCAAAAAAAAGTGCTTCTGCTGGCTTTGTAAGGCAAGATTACAGGTACATAAAATACAATGCTAACTTCTAATGACATTTATTGAGTTCTCATGAATAATTACACCACCCCCGCCCCTGGTACTGGGGATCGAACTCACGACCTTGCGCTTGCCAGGCAGGCACTGTGCCACTGAGCTAAATCCCCAGCCCCTCATGAATAATTTTTGATGATTACAAATTTTATTTCTCACAAGTGCTTCATAGTATAAAAGGTTCCCAAAATTGTTTTCTTTTTAGCTGTAGTACACATTTTTTGGGAATAAAAATTAGAACCTGATGTGTGAGGATTTTCTCAGATTTAGTTAGTTTTTTTGAGACAGGGTCTGTGTGTAGTACAGGCTGTCCTTGAATTTGCTTATGTAGCCCAGGCCAACCTCAAACACACGGTGATCTTCCTACCTCAGCCTCCTGAATGCTGGGATTATAGGCGTGCGCTATTCTCACATTTATATAGATGAAAGACAATTTCAGTTATATGTAAATTACAAATTTAACACCTTGGAAAAAGAAAAATTATATAAGACAACTTGGGGTGTAGCTTAGTGGCAGAGTGCTTCCTTGGTAGGCAAGGTCTAGTTTCAATTCCTAGCAAAGCCCTCCTCCCCCACTACATTAACAAATAAGACTATCACTTGAAAACAGGCATACTAATATATCAGAATTCATTTTTGGTTTTAAGGAATATCGGGACGCATGTCAGTTTTTTAGTAAGAACATTGTCACTTAATAAAAATGAAATACGTACAATAATTGTGCATAGTTAACAGTTTTTACTTTAATAGAAGCCTTTTAGGATTTTATTTTTGTGGTGCTGGTGTTGAACCCAAGGCCTTAAATTTGCTAGGCAAGTACTCCACTTTTGAGCTAGCTGAGGATTTTAAAATTACTTTTATTTTAGGTTCACTAACCTCTTTTATTTATTTATTTATTTATTTTCCGGTACTGGGAATCAAACTCACGACCTTGAGCTTGCCGGGCAGGCGCTGTGCCACTGAGCTAAATCCCCAGCCCCAACTAACCTCTTTTATATTGTAAAAGTTCCCGAAAACTTCGGAGAGTGTCATTTCAGCTAAGTGTTCTGGAAAGGTTAAGTGCTGTTTAGTAAATATATTTAGTAAATATATTTAAGAAGTGAGAGCACTATTAATAATGGCACATACATTTTGTTTTTGTTTTTGGTGCCGGGAATCAAACTCAGGACCTCACACTTATTGGGTAGGTGCTGTGCCACTGTGTGATATCCCTGGCACATATATTTGTTGCAGAGGGAAAAGTATAGGTGTAAATGAGAGCTTTTTAACAGTCACTTTGCAGCCCTTTCCTCATATGTAAAATATATATTGTCTAAAAATACTTGTTTTTGTTTTTTAAAGATAGGGTCTCATTGTGTAGTTCAGGCTGGCCTTGAGGTCACTGTGTGGCCCAGGCTGGTCTCAAACTTACAGTGATCCTCCTGCCTCAGCCTCCCAGCTGCTGGAATACAGGAGTGTGCCCCTTGCCTGGCTTTTTTTTTTTTTTTTGGCACTGGAAATTGAACTCAGGACCTTGGGCTTGCCAGGCAGGTGCTTATGCCACTGAGCTATATTCCTGGCCCCATGACTGGCTTATTGTCTAAAAATATTTTAACTCATTTTGGAAAATTATTGATATGAAATAATAATGTTGCCTTTGTTTTTTCTTTCCCCAGATATGGCCGCGTGGAAAGTGTTAAAATTCTCCCCAAGAGGGGATCTGAAGGAGGAGTGGCTGCCTTTGTGGATTTTGTGGACATCAAAAGTGCACAGAAAGCTCACAACTCTGTTAACAAAATGGGAGACAGAGACCTACGCACGGATTATAATGAACCAGGCACCATTCCGAGTGCTGCTCGGGGATTGGATGATACAGTTTCCATAGCATCTCGTAGTAGAGAGGTTTCTGGGTTCAGAGGAGGTGGTGGAGGGCCTTCTTATGGCCCCCCACCATCACTTCATGCACGAGAAGGACGTTATGAGCGGAGACTTGATGGGTAAGTTCCAAGGTTTCTGTAGGCAGGTATTTTGTATTTGATGTGGTGAGAAACAGAAACTCATATTTAGGGGCCCCAGATGGATTTAAAGTTTTGGGCATTCTCAATGTTTCCTATTTTGGGTTGGAAACGGAAGTGATTTCTGTCCCAGTGGCCGGTGTCTTATGGAATCGTAGAGGATATTTCCTACAGTGGATTGGATATCAGCTCCTGAGATATAAATGTGGTGGAAGACTTCCTGTGGCAGCATCATTTTTGGAGTTACCTGTCTTCTAGAATTAATTATTCCTCCTTTTGGATAATATTAAAAGCCTTCTTTGGATATATCCCTTCTATTCAGTGGAGCTATTTGGCTACAGGTTTTGTGGTCATGCTGTTTGGAATATTTCTGGAATATTAAGAGCCTACAATTGTTTTAGAAGTTATCTGCTTCTCTGTTTTCACTGCATAAAGTGTACAAACAAATTGGATTGTCACAAAAAATATAGCAGACCATGATGATTTAACCATTTGGATTCTACAAACAATACTTTAACATGGAAATGTATATTTGGATGAAGAAGAATGAAGGCGATGCTTGAGTTTTCCAGTTTGGATCTACACCATTTCAGTATTGGAATTACACTCCTTGATGGAATGGGGGAAAATTGAGATGATGGAACATTCCTTAATTCTGGAATATAGCCGTTCTTTTCTAATTGCTGGAATGTATGGGATGTCATGCTTTCAAGACTCCAGTAGCCCAGAGGAAGAGGATTACTATTTCATTTCTTAAGCAAGTTGCTGCCTAATTAAAGATACTTTAGCTTTGAACTCATGGTGATGATTGGTTATGGATACAGCGATCAAAATTGACTGGGCTGGATGGCTACAAAAGTGAACAATTGGCGAGCAACCATGTCTTCCTCATTCATTGGAATTGTAGAGATCTTTACTCTTCTGCCAGATGTCTGATTCATACTTAGGGCTGGAGATTTTTATGAATGTGGATCAATTTATAATTATCTGCTATCTCAAGAAAGAAGTCTGGGGGTTTGAGAGTTACAGTTTGTCTGGGACTACTTGCTTCCAGTGGAATTACTTTGTCTGGTCACTATGATTTTTTTTTTTTTTTCTTTGTGGTTCATCTAAATATCATTTGACACCCTTGCCCATTAAGAAGGTGGATTACCCCCATAAGAGGGGCCAAAATTGGGGAAGTTATGTTCACAATTCTCTCCCTAGATTTAATTGGGATTATAGGTCGTGTTTCCAGAGTTGGAAAAGGTTGGTATGTTCTGACCTGTGTATATTAGCCCCTCTCCTAACCCAAGTCAAACTTTTCCCCCACTAACTGTAGAAGTATTTAGTGCTGATAGTTGAATCAGAGTAGTTACTAGATTTCAGTTCTGCTAGCTCTTACGCTTGCCTTCTGTATCTTCCTAATGGATAAGAATTTTGCATATATATGAAGTATCAACTATAGAAGTAAGTCTTCTAGAACTTTTTGCCTGTTTGCTTCTATTACATCAGTAATAATGGCTCTCTTTGATTAATGTTTGATAAAGTGCTAAATGAACTACTTATAAAATTTTCTCTTAAGTCTCAACTTTCAGAAAGTAAAAGGAGAAAGTCATTTAATAAATTGAAGAAGGAAAGATATTATTGAATTTTCTGCCAGACCAGTTGCTTTTCATAGTAGCAACAAAATAGCTCAAGAAAATGGGATTGCTACTGAATAAAATGGTGGGTGAAAATATTAGTGGAGAGATGTGGAATATAGGCATGTATTAGGAAAATAATTGCCACAAAATTTTGCCAAATACCCTTCACTGGAGAGATCCTAATTTATTTTTCATGATTCTTTAATCCCTTTTGATAGAAGATAGTTCTACAGATGAGATTGAAGGGAAACTCAAGTGAATCAGTCTTACTAGGAACTCATGAGCTGAGTTTCAGTTCCCTACAAAAGTAGAGAACTTACAATATAAGAATAGAATTTCTTTCTCATTTTAACATATACTTGCATTGTACAATTGTACACGTAGTGCTTTTTTGTGTTCCTGCGTAGACAAATATTCAGACCCTATTGAACAGTTTCTTAAGGGGTCTGGGGATGTGGCTTAGTGGTAGAGTGCAAGGCCCTGGGTTCTACCCCTAGCCCTGCAAAAAACCAAACCAAGCAAAAATGTAAAATTAAGCCATTGCTACTAGTGACCTTTGAGTATATTATAGTTCCTGACATTGCCTAATTTTGCTACGGGCAACTTGAATAGAGCTAAAAATAAGAACATATTTCCTCTAATCAATAAGTACATGTATTAACAAATTGACTCATGGAATAAGATATTTTAAAAATTATGTGAAATTTGATGTTACATGCAGTTGCATGTGATAACCCCATATTTTGATACCTTAAGTGTTTTAAGATTTCATTTTTGTTATTAAATATAATTGTTTGGGCAGTTTATGTAGTTTGGCAATTTTTATAATTACCCAAGCAGTCAAAAGTTAATGAGTGCGCCAGGTGTGGTGGTGCACGCCTGTAATCCCAGCTACTTGGGAGGCCAGAGGATCACAAGTTCAGGGCCAGCCTGTGTAACCTCTTGAGATCCTGTCTCAAGGTATAAAAAAGGGCTGGGCATTGTAGCTCAGTGCTAGAACGCTTGCGTAGCATGCGTGAGACCCTGGTTTGATCCTTACCACTGCCAAAAAATAGTTAATTAGAAAAAAAAAAAATTTACACATTTTTCCTGGATTTCTTTGAAATTCTTTCCTACAACAGAACATGCACTTCAGTAGTGCTTTCATGTCTGTGTCTAAATGTAGTGTTAAAATATGGCTTCAAATAAATTTGCAAGTAAATAAAAGTTCAATATATGTTTTAATCAGATGAAAGTGTAAAAACTTTCTCATTAAAATGACATTTTCCTTCCAGTAAATTTAAAATGAAAAGATGGTATGCATGTATTTCTGTATATGAGCCAGAAAATCCCTAATAAAATGAGCAACCTATTATGAGAACACTAGTCATGAAAGCCCAATTAAAACAATGATTGCTCAGCCATGAAAATAATTTTTGGAGTAAAGTAAAATATTAAGCTTGTTACTGTTTACTTATTGAATAGGCTAATGCTGTTTAGAAACTGACCAGTTACAAAAACAGACAATTCTGAGGTGAATGTTTGCATGACTTACTTAGTTTTGCTTGCTCCTTTCTGATTAAATATTTTTCCCCCCCTCCTAAATGCAGGGCTTCAGATAACAGGGAGCGTGCTTATGAACATAGTGCCTATGGACACCATGAACGGGGGACGGGAGCATTTGATCGGACAAGACATTACGATCAGGATTACTATAGAGATCCTCGAGAGCGGACATTACCACATGGGCTCTATTATACTTCTCCTCGGAGTCGAAGTCCAAACCGTTTTGATGCTCATGATCCCCGATACGAACCTAGGGCTCGGGAGCAGTTTACACTGCCCAGTGTGGTACACAGGGATATCTACAGGGATGATATTACCCGGGAGGTACGAGGCAGAAGGCCAGAGCGGAATTACCAGCACAGCAGGAGTCGCTCACCACACTCATCCCAGTCTAGAAATCAGTCTCCTCAGAGACTGGCTAGCCAAGCGACTAGACCCACCAGGTCCCCTAGCGGCAGCGGCTCTAGGAGTAGATCCTCCAGTAGTGATTCAATCAGCAGCAGCAGTAGTACCAGCAGTGACAGGTAGGTTAACAGCCTTTTGTTGTAACAGATGAGCTGTTAAATTCTCAATGATCAATGATAATGGTTTTAGTGTAATGATTTTTTGAAGAAAATAATCTTGAATTGTATATGTAATATGTAAAGTAACTTTAACATGTGGACATTTGAATTAACTAAAAGCTAACCAGTGATGCAAATGCTGTTTCATCCTCTAGAAACTCAATATTGAAATTAAATTGCCAGCTGGATGTGGTGGTGCACGCCTATAATCCCAGCACTTGGGAGGCTGAGGCAGGAGAGTTGCCATGAGTTTGAGGCCAGCCTGGGCTGCATAGTGAGTTCAAGGCCAGCCTGAACTACATAGTGAGACCCTGTCTCAAAAAAAAAAAAAAAAAAAAGGCTAAAAAGGAAGGTAAATGGTGACTTAAGGAATATGAGGTAAATCTTATGCCACTGAAAATGTGGTATCCCTTAAGTTTTTAATTTTTTAGGTGTGCAATGCCAGTGTATTTATTTTTGTTATTTTGCTTGAATGTTTGTAAAAGCTGATGGTTAAATTTTTATTGGTGATTTGTTGACACATCTCTTATCAATGTCTGAGTCAGCTTATGAACAAATTAACTTCAATGTCAAGGTGGTTAGCCAAATTTAAAAAACAAGTAGGAAAAAAGCTTCCTTTAATTGCAGGTTGTGACATTGTTGTTCTCTGAGGCTAAAGTAACTCATGAGTTGGGAATTTTTTTTGACAAAGTCATTTTTCCAAAGGTAAAAAATAATAAACTGAACATAATCTTAACAAGGAGACATAGCAGTTACATATGGATTTGAGATAGTAGATCTAGGTAGATGGTATAGATCATTTTTAGTAATTTTAGACAATTCACTTAAACTCTTTGGGCCTCAATTTTCTCATCCTTTATAAGAACCTTACTTTATAGAGTTACTGTGAAGTTTAAAATGAAAACTGCTTATAAAATGCTTATCTTGATACCTACGTATGTTAAATGAATGCTGCCACCTGTCTTGAATACTATACTCTTTGGTTGCTTGCTAGCTATTCTTACTAATTTAGATGGTATAGTCTTTGGTCTCCTCTTTTTTCCCATTAGTGGGGTTTTTTTTGGTCTTTTTTGACTTGCTGTGCTGTTCAGGCTGGCCCCAAGCTCACTTTGTAGCCCAGGGTGGTCTTGAACTTCCAGTGATCCTCCTGCCTCAGCCTCCCTGAGTGCTGGGATTATAGGCCTGTACCACCATGCCTGGCTTCCCATTGTTGTTGTCATTATTGTTCAGTTAATCCCAGGTGTCTTAGTTTTAAATTTAGGTGTAAAAATCCCAGATTATCTTTCTTTCAGTATTGGCTGCTTAGATTTAATTTAAGAAAAGCAATGATTATGTAATTTAATGGCTCTTTTTAGGCTTTTTTTTTTTTTGGTTTTTGGTTTTTCTCCGGTACCAGGAACTGAACTCATGACCTTGCGCTTGCCAGGCAGGCACTTTGCCGCTGAGCTAAATCACCAGCCCCCTTCCTAAATTTTCTAATTCAGAATAATAAATGGAAACATTTGGCTCTTAAAGTGAAATGAGTAGTTTGTTTAGGAAGTTAGCAAAGTTGTTTTCTCCAGATTTGCACCTTCATGATATGCTTTAAAATTCTTCTCTTTTTTTCTTGAGACAGGATATTGGTGTGTAGTGCAGGCTGGCCTGGAACTCACGGTGATCCTTCTGCCTCAGCCTCCCAAGTGCTAGAGTTACAGGCATGTGAAACCATGCCTAGCTTCTTAACTTCTCTTGATTTTATTTGTTATATTGTCCAGATAAGTGATTGGTGAAATTCATTAGAACCCTATAAACTGATCATAAAAATTTGTTATATTTACTATTTATGCTGCGTAGAACTGTCTACTCAAGTTTGCCAGGCATAGTGGCACACACCTGTAATCTCAGGACTCTGGGAGGCTGAGGCAGAAGGATGGCAAGTTCAGGTGCAGCCTGCTTAATTAAGAGACTTAAAAAAAGACTCTCAAAGTTAAAAAAAAATAAAAGGACTATGGATGTAACTTAGTGTAAAGGCCTTACATGCAGTCCCCAGTACTGAAAAAAAAAAAGTCAAATTTTAGTTATCCTCCCCCGCCCAAACCTGCCTCATTAAAGGAATTTCACTACACTCCTTGGATCAAAACTTAACTGAAAAGATAACATGTGCTGGCATTATTGAATTTGTAGTATTATACTTTGGAGGGAGTTACAGTGGTTTAGGATCTGGTCTCCTATTGTAGACTTAAAAGCTTAAACCTAAAGGTGATCTAATGAATTCCATGCTCACATATTTAAGAAAACATAAACAACAACAAGCCTGTATTTCTATTTATTATACACTGACAGGAGGGCAGGGTGTACTTAGAAAATGTACTTGGGGACTAACTGTAATGAAAAAAAGTGGTGAACAAAAGGACTTTTCTTGATTACTGTACCAGCTTACAGTAGTTAGATTTATCTGCTTAAAGAATGCAGTGATCTGATAAGCTGACAAGCTTAATTTGCTTACATAGTATTTTAAGTTATGCCAGTGTTTTGTGGGTTGTTTTTTGGTCTTCTTTTTTTTTTTTTTTTTTTTTTTTTTTTTTCTAGGGGGTTTTTTTTTTTTTTTGGCGTACTGGGGATCGAACTCAGGACCTTGCGCTTGCCAGGCAGGCGCTTATGCCACTGAGCTATATCACCAGCCCCAGGGACAGAGACAGGGTCTTACTATGCAATTCAGGCTGGCCTTCAGCTCACTGTAGCCCAGGCTGGTCGCAAACTTTCAAGGATGCTCCTGCCTCAGCCTTCTGAGTGCTGGGATTACAGGCATGTGCCACCATGCCTGGCATATGCTAGTGTTTAAAAACCTAGAATTTTACCTCATGTGTTCCATCTAATTTGCACTGTTGGACTGTATTATCTGACAAGGTAAGGATAATTGAAATCTGGCTGGGGACAACTTCTTCCCATGGCTTGGGCAAGAGCCACAGGTAGATTTTTGCTGTTTTTCCTTTCCTATGTCTGTGTAGTCTTCTATTAGAATGTTATTTCCCCCCTTCTGGAGAGGCTGTAATACATTTACTTAAGTTATTGGTTTCTTTTCATATGTAGTCATATTTTCTAGAGCTGTAATATTTCTGCCTTAAATAACTTGCTTTTAGTTGTTTACCTGAACCTCATTCATGAACTTATTGAGTCCCTTCTAGCTTCAATGACATGCCAGCTGTTATGTAATGACAGTTTTTGTGTTTGTACACAGAACAATGGGAGAATGGAAAGAGAATTTTTTAGACTGCTGGGGAGATCTAAGAGGTAGCATTTTCTTGGGCTATGGAGGATATACATATAGGACATAAACAGGAAGGGAAGCATTTTAGGCTAGTAGACAGGGAACGTTGTGGGCAGAAGAAACAACCTGAAAAGACAGACGTGGGCAAAAGAATGTGTTGAGGCCAACAGATAATTTAGCAAGATTTAACCATGCTAGAGTGTTGGGGATTTTAATCTTTTTGCAGAGGGAAGCCCTTAAAAATTTTTCAAATCAAGATGGCTTCTGGAGATCTTTGCCTCAGAAAGGTGACTAGTGATATAGAATAGAGATTATGGTTCAGAGGCCATCTTAGTACCATAGAGGGGGAAAGCTTGAATTGAGTCTCTGACTTGAAACAGTTAGGTGAGATGTTATGTTAAAAGGTAGATTGCTGATTTATTCAAAACAGAATAAACTTTGGTGATTGGCTGAATAATGGGCTTCCAGTGCTGTCTTGTAAGAACAGGATCAAGTAGTCTTTGTGTATACCACAGAAGCCACTATATTGCCTTTCTCAGAGTGCTTCTCCAAAAACAGTTGAAATAGCACTTAGGCACGATTCTTAGTCAGCCCAAAGGATAAAGCAGAACTGATGTAGATAGGTGAAAAATTTGGTTATCATGTTGCAGTTGAGGCAGGTGTACAGAGGGTTCAGCCTCCCTTTTATCAGATAGCCCCCTTTTCTCTATAATTATACTGAGTGCAGAGTATAGTATTTTCAAATCTTACATGAATTCAAAATGTTTAATTTCCTTTTGCAAGACATACGCTCTTTTTTGTATTCTTTAAAATTTTTTTTTTTTCTTGCGGTACTGGGGATTGAACTCACGACCTTGCGCTTGCCAAGCAGGCGCTTATGCCACAGAGGTATATCCCCAGCCCTCTTTAAAACTTTACAGTTGGACCCAGGCATGGTGGCGCATGCCTATAAGACCATCACTTGGGTGGCTGAGGCAGGAGACTTGGGAGGCTAAGGCAGGAGGATCACTGCAAGTTCAAGGCCAGCCTGGGCTACATAGCAAAACCCTGTCTCAAAAAAGAGAAACAAAACAAAAACACTTTATAGCTGTAGAACTATGACATTCCTAGAAATTCTTTAAAGATATTTATTGATTGATTGATTGAGTTTTTTTTTTCCGGTACCGGGAATCGAACTCACGACCTTGCACTTGCTGGGCTGGTGCTGTGTTGCTGAGCTAAATCCCCAGCCCCCATCTTTAAAGATGTTTAGAATTAACACTTACGTGGTGGACAAGACACCTATAGAAATAAGTTTCTCTTCTGTCTGCAGGATTGATGGGAAATAAAGCACTCTGGATCCTCAATTTTTTTTTTATCTTTTTGAGACAGGGTCTCACTATGCAGTTCAGGCTGGCCTTGAACTTACTTTGTAGCCCAGGCTGGCGTCAAACTCAGAAGGATCCATCCTCCTGCCTCAGCCTCCTGAGTGCTGGGATTACAGGTGTGTGCCACCACATCCAGCAGTGGATCCTCAGTTCTTACAGTTTTGATGAACAGATTCGTATTGGTGCATTTCAAATGAGTAAACATGGGATTAATGGCAGTGTAGTTGTGAAGTTACAAACAGTGCACATACTGTTTCTGTGCAGTTGTTCACAGCATTTGTTTTTTTTTTTTGGTTTTTCTCCGGTACCGGGAACCGAACTCATGACCTTGCACTTGCCAGGCAGGC